TAGGGCTCCTACTTCGACTTCACCCCTATGTCTCTTTTCCCCCTTATCCTCCTCATCCCGCATTACCGAAGTGGCGTCCAATTCTAAACCCTGAACCCCAAACCCTCGTCATATAAAAGAGTTTTCTGAGCCCACCAGACCGCCAACTCGTCCCCTCGAACCAGTTTCCCAGGGGTCCCTGACCTCCTTGCCACTGTTGGCTCAAATGGACCACAGTTCCCTTTTTTAGAACAAAATTTTCTATTCTGAACCCTATTTGCCCCTTTTTCATTTCCGTTTCATCTCCTTCTTGGCTGGGCTCACTTTTATTCTTATGTTAGCCTAAGTTCCTGTATCGACCGCTGAACATCTATAGTGTCGTCCTGGTGCTCCTCTTTGAACCAATGAAAGATAAGTCTTTCCCCTTCAACAGTCGCGACTTTGCCTTGGGCTAATACCCTCTTGTGAAAGTTAGATAAGGTATGCTTTGCCTTCTCTGGGTTAAGTACCAATTGCTTCTTTATTCTTCTCCACAATGCCCTAATCTCCGTCTCCACCCTGCCTTTCTAACCAAAACCCAGGCCCTTTTCTTCCTCCTTTTCTTGGACCCTTCTTGCCCTGTTTTCACACTATCCTCGCCTGCTTTCGTCTGCAGACAATTCTCCCTTCACCCCTACTTCCCACTCCCCGCTGGCTCCTCCTCCTCCTCCTCTTCTTCTTCTTCTTCTTCTTCTTCTTCTTCTTCTTCTTCTTCTTCTTCTTCTTCGTATTGTTCTTCACCTCCTGCTTCTTCCCCCCTCTTCCACCTCCTCCCTACCTCCTCATCATTCTCCTCCTCCTCGTCATCCTCGTTCTCGGCCTCCTTTTTGCTTCTGATGTTGTTGTTGTGCTGTTTGGAAGGCATTCTGGGTGGATACGAAAAATTAGTCGCTCCGGCATCCGGTATCATCCATGATACCGTACTCTTCAGCAAGTAGTTATGGAGATGGCGACTCCAATAGTATCAACCTTAAGAATGCGCTGTCGGGCAAGAATGCTGCGAGGACACCGTGGCGGACCATGATGGTTAAGTGGCCCCTTCATATACCCAAAGTTACCCATTGACAAACTGTTCCTGCTATTATGTTCTGCCGATCATACCTGCTGAAGTGAAAGCTTGAACAATACATCAATAGGGAGCCGCATTTGACTCCAACACAGTGCGCCCTCTGCTGCCCTTGAGTTCGATGCTGTGCAGTGTCTGCTGCCCTTCATATGTATAATAGACCAGGTCAAGTAGATTGGGACGTGTACCTCCCTGAGGTAGCCAGTGGATTTACTTGTTGACTAATAGGACTATGAGACCTATAGATGGTCTAAATGCGGATCAGATTCGGTACCGCTCGACACTCGTGAGTTTGCACTGAAGTATGTGAAAGACCTGCAGAAAGTCACTGAGAACACTAGACATGCACACTTCGAGATGATAGAGCATGATAATAAGCACTGCAGACCTTTGGAATTCGCAGTTGGTGGTTTAGCGTGGGTGAAGTCCAAATTTTTTTGCCTGAAAGAGGAATTTCTCAGAAATCATTACCCGCATATAAAGGACCGTGGGAAGCCCTAGAGATCAAGGGAGATTTTTTCTGATTGAACGTTCTGTACGATAGTCGTCCCTCCCCACCTTCACACTTATCCAGTCGTCTATGCTTCTATACTATTGCCTGTTACTTCAGGACAATCCTTCCCTTCATGCAGGTCAATGATGTCACCTCAGATGGATGGATGGTAGCTATGGCATTGCCCGTATGGTCGATCAGGCTGAACTTAGAACCAATAGGAAGTGGTGGGGGGGGGCGCACCAGCTTAGATGACAGTACCAAGACCCAGAAGAGTATAGGTGGTTCCCCAAAGAGCAACTTTGTGAGACCGCACCTTGCATTATCTCACACGATGAGCAAGCATGTATGGGGATCCGTGAAATCAAGAGGTAGACAGCCATGTACATACTATTCCTGCTGCATTCATCTTCGTTTCAGCGTTTTTATTTTTTGAGCCATTTCTTAAGCAAAGTCTTGCTAAGTATTTAAGCTTTGAGCTGAAGAGAATAGCGCATGGCAAGCCACCATTACTGATTTTGCAAGGCAGCTTCAGCCCACTAAGTAGTGCTTCTCGGAGGACCTCGAAATGAGGCCGGCGGGAGTGAAGGGATTCACGTGCCTCTGCGGTACGGCCCCAGTACCATGTCCCATTGTTTTTTGTATCATAGGGCTGCACATAGAACTTTCCGTTAGGTACTGCACAGGTCGAAATCAAGATTCAGTAGCAAAAGGTCCGCATGAACAGTAGAAGTCCTTAGCGGCCAGTAGGTAGGGAGTCACCATGTTTCCAGTCCTGGTCAAGTCGCAGCTCAGTACCAGGAAAGGTCTAGGGGACACTCCGAATCTTTGTCGGCCGCTGCAAGGCCCAACAGGGACTGACAGTGCCAGGAAGAGGGAGGCACCCAGATGCACAAAAGGGAGGCCACTATCAGGAACCTACTCTTCTTTGATTCTGGCTTATGCAGAAGCACTGCTGTGTTATTGCTTGCCAAGATCCTAAACACTTGAACAGTGCCTGGCGAGGAAGTAGTCGACGGCACTGGGCGCCACAGCTGTAGGATAGCATAGCAGGAGAGAAAGAGTGGGTGAGGGCATTCAGAGAGAGATCACGAGACCTGTACACAGCAGTTGAGAGAGAGAGAGAGAGAGAGAGAGAGAGAGAGAGAGAGAGAGAGAGAGAGAGAGAGAGAGAGAGAGAGAGAGAGCTGCTTTCCGTTGTTGGCAGCGGCCATAGCCGTAGAGTTTGATTAACCTGTGTACATCATTTCACGTTGTAAATGAAGTTCCAATTGTGCTCATATCATGTGAATCTTGCTAACTTGGTGTGGGTCTTGAGTGTGATGCATGCATAAAGTCCCAGGCAATAAAGGCGATAAAACGTGTTTTTCTGTTCGTATGTTCTCCCTCCTGCTTTCTTGTATCTTGTCCCTGAACTTGCTTGCCGGTGATAAGCTACGGGACTGTTGTTGCCCAGCACAGACCGGGGCTGTGTGTGTGTGTGTTACCCAAAAAAATGGAAAACGAGATCTTTTCGATTAGAGTGCAGAATGGAAATTCAAAACTGCTTGGGCTGTGGATTACTGTTGAACTGTTTGGATGGGTGTGTTGGCAGATGAAACTCCTGCGTGATGACTTGGAGCTGAGGAGAAAGCAAGAGATACATGAGATTGAGGAGCGGAAGAACACGCACATCAATGAGCTGATGAAGAAGCATGAAAAGGCGTTCACTGAAATAAAGAACTACTACAATGATATTACGCACAATAATTTGGACCTCATCAAGACTCTCAAGGCAGGCTTTTTTTAACATGACCTGCCCAACTTGCATGACCTCATCCATCCCTCACCATCGGAGAATGGGGAAAGGGAGGGACTGCTAGAGGGAGAGGGGAAGCGACGGATGAATGGAAAGACAAACAGACAAATGGATGGATCAATAGAAGATGAAGGGAGAGGGGGGAGGAGGGAGGGAGGGAAGGGGGAGGGGGGAGGGAGAGTGTGAGAGAGTGGGAGGGAGGAGCAGAACCGATGAAGGGAGGGAGGAACAGAATGA